CTTGTATCTGCTGGGGAAAGGTGTGAGGAGTGTTGCTGGTGGAAGCAAAATGCCAATGCCAGTACAGTGAGGAAAAGAGGACAGTAAAGCATAAAAGGGGTGGATGGCAAGAAGCAAGATGCAAGAAAAATGCTTTAGCTACTGTCATCATAATTAATTTAACAAATGAACACTAATTGAAGTGTAACTTTGGCAATGTTTGGCCTCCTTAGATTTTCTGTTCTGCTCTTGTGTTGTTATATTTTTTATGCCAGTAGCCCTCAGAAAGTGTAAATAATAGATTATTCCAGTAGAATAGGGTCCCATTTTTGCTTGCTTGCTTGTTGTCATATAGGAATTACTTAAGCAGTGTCCTGTAGGAAGAAGAGAAATAGCTTTCTGCCTGATAGAATAACAATCTCAAAATAATTTTCTGCACATTATCCTTTTCTGTTCATGCTTTAACTTTTTTAGCAGATATGGAGAAACAGAATATAGAGGCACCTCATGTATTTTCTACCAGTTCCTGATCCATAACACTTACTATTTGTCACTTCAGTGATGTGTTTCTCCCTTGGCAATAGGTTTGCCTCTGCAGGGGAGGAAATGGGTTTTGTCTCTGCCTTGCTTGGGTGTGCTGTATCAATGAATCAATGATCAAATGAAAATGATCAAAGAATTCTGAATCTGTTATCACCTTACTTGGGTGTGCTGTATGTATTAAATGATCAAAGAATTCTGAATCTGTTATCATCTAGTCCAGTTTGCTGGTATCATTTTGCTCTTCTCTGAACACAGATGCTTGTTGATTGTTTTGCAGGTGTTTTAGATGGTTTGGGTTCTGCCCAAGGTCTTTCACTCAGGCTGAGAAGAGTCTGGGAAGAGTATCTCCTTTCTTTCCTTTCTTAATTTCCTCTTTCACTCTCCCCTGCCCCCCACATACAGATGGAAGGAAATGTTTTAAGTTAGAGTGTGAGAAATCCCTGTGTAGGGAAAAAAAAACAAACTCCAAATATAATTTAAGTGCTGGGGATAGCTGGTAGAATTGTTTTGGCTGCTCATTAAAAACAGAACTGGTGTTATAAGTAGAAAGCCATGTAATTGAGTTGCCTGTTTTAATGTCTCAAAAATCATAATTGCAGGTTTTTTCTACACTCCCACATTTAGTATGCAATTTTCCTGTAACATTAATGCAAACATGAAATTAAAATCCTGCTTGTATGCCTTGTTGAGCAGTTTGGTCCATTTCATCACTCCCTGGTTGTACTTTTCCCAAGCTTAGCTGTTATACTTATTTTCCAAGTGTGTTTTCAGTGATATGAAATTTCCTGAAATTGTTTTGAAGAGCAGGCTTTAGAGAGTTGTAGCCATGTATATTTCAGCTGATATATTATGTTTGGGGTTTTTCTTAATTTGGAGCTAACAACATAGTGGTGTTGTCAGAAGTATATATAAAAGTGAATTTTGGCAGGTCTGATACTTGAAATATATGTATTTCAAGGTGTTTAGAATTCACTATTAGTTTAAGACCGTTCCTCAAAATAAGGTGGTGTTTTGCACTTGTGGGCAGACCATTAGCTGTTACTGTAAAAAGGTCACAAGAAATATAGTTGTTCTTCCTAATCACTAAAACATTTAAAATCTTCCTTTTTTAAGCAGCTAATTAAATACTGAAATATAACATTGCATTGATTTGCAGATAAGTGTATATGGAGCACAGTTGTCATCAGAAGCTTGCAGAGAGCTGGGCTTCTCCAGTAACTTGCTATGCAGTTCTTGCAACCTTCTTGGGCAGTTCAATCTGAACCAGTTGGATCCGTTCTGCAGGCAGTGCTGCCAAGAAGAAGCTCAGCTGGAAACCAGAAAGGTGAGTTTTGGACTAAATCCTTTGTGGAATAATTTAACACGTTATACTGAAGAGTGAGACTCTGAATTATGATCTCAAGAAGAAAATGCGATGTTTCTTGATAGTCCAGTGTACACAGGGTCTAGATTTACAGACTTGCCCTACTGCTCTTAATTAACATCCCTGTATGAGCAGAAGCAGCTTTGTTTCTGTGACAGCCCATCTCTGCTGTGAAGTGACTTATGGGAGTTGTGTCCAGCTTTCAATTGAAAGATGTATGGGATTTGAAGAGGGCAAGAAAAGAGGATAAGGAGATGGGTATTCTTGATTGCAGCTATTGCTTGGTCATTGACCCATAGTGTAATGGCCAGGATAGTTCAGTCCCTAGGAATAAAGGGCTGGTGCAGCCGTCAGGTCAGCTCCTGAAGTGGCACGAAACCTGACAGAAGCAGGGCTGGTCAGCTCTGTTCTGCAGTGGTGTGAACAACTAGGTTCTAACAGCTAGAAATATTGGGAATCTTGCTCAGAGCCCATGCTATGCTTCAATCAGTTAGGCTAAGGCAAAACTTTTCCTTTATCTGTTGCAAGTAAATATCTTATCCTGCTTGTGGTACATCAGGAAGGAATAACTTTTACAGAGCTCTTGAAAAGAATACACGCTTTCAAATATGTTGTAATTTAAGAGTACTCTAGAATACATTGAAGACCAATCAATTATCAGAAGAGTAGACATTTCAAGGAGAAGAGATGCTGAAATTAGTTTTAATGGCTAGAAGATAGCTAAGTAACTGACAACATGAAATTAATGAGGAAATCTACCAGGCTTCTCCTGTCAATTGAAGTCAGCATAATATTAAAAAAAGTCTGCCTATAATTTTTAACAAAATCACTGATTACAGTGTTAGGTACAGTATTAAATATCTAGAGGCCAGTGTTTGAGATTTGCAGAGAATTAATAGTTAGTAGTTCCTTAGTATTGAGAGACTATTAAGGTAAGACTATAAATTGCACCGTTTCGTGTATTGACAAAAGAATGCTTGTAGTAATATTTCATTACAATCCTTATAGGACTTGCTATCTTAGACTTTTTCTTTGCTAGATGTATGAATTTTATAAAGGAAAGTGTCTCTGGAAAATGGTCCTGTTCTTATATATATTTTTATGTGTACATATCTATATATATGTACATACACACAAGCTGAAAAGTTTCAGAATAAATTCTAAAGAAATGTACTAAAAAGGAATGGGAAAACAGGAAAAGGTCTCCAGCTGTGCTGTGGTTGTATACCGCAGCCAGTAACAGTTGTGGTGGCAGCAGCAAGGCTTCCTGTCCTCGCATAAGGAGTGGATGCTTTTATTTGTGCAGGTAACAGTCTTACAGTTTTGCCTCAGTGTGCATAAGATGTAGCACAAGAACTTGTGGAGCAGGATAATTTGTTGGGAAAAATAAACTAGAGGAGTTATGCTGCATTTCTGTCCATGTGATTTCTGAGGAAAATTGTCTTTATCAATTTATCAGTAATTTACTCAAGGATGTAACTTATTTTGTATTGTAAACATTGCATTAATAAAAGTTGGATCAAATAACAGAATTTAAATCAATATTTTCTGAGTATCCTGCATGAGACCTGGATTTTACCATGTAGATAATGACACTTCTTTTGTAAGACTAAATGCCCTTTTTTGGTTAGGACTTTACATTGTAAATATTTCTAATCTCAAAACTTTTTTTTTAATTTTAGTCATGCTGAATGTAGTAGAACAAAAAACATAGGATTGGACACGGTCTCCAGGTTGTTTGCCAAATTCCTTCACAGTGAATGAGAATTTGTTTTATATTCATAGGAACCAAGAGATTTAATAAGTTGGGTTTTTTAATCTATTTGTGTTGGTTTACCCACTCTCGTTTTCTTGTGCTTTGTAGTAAACATGAACAATTTGCCTCTATGGCACAATTTGATGAACATCTTGATTATTATTTTATCTTCTGTGACATTTTTTAAGAAATATAGTACAAATGATACTCGAGATTTGGAGCGAGCATGTTAAGTACCATCTTGAATTATAGGCATGATTATGATACTGTTTTCCTGCATTTTCATATCCAGGTTTGAATGCAGGCTTTTCCTACTCTGTGTGTAAATATAAATATATTGCATAATTCTGACATTATGGTTATATGGTTGAGTGCTAAATTATAGCGTCGTTTCTGATATTCTTTTGAATGCTGTTTTAGGAGGTGGAAATTTTTTATACTGTTACCCCTGCTTGGAAATGTATATTTTTTTGTATTTGCTGATATTTTTAAAATTTTTTTTAAACTTTTAGTGAGTAACTTCCCTTGAAGACTAGCCGGAGGCAAATTAGTGTTGGGAGAACGGACCACAAATATTACCTTAACAGATTGTATTCAGAATCATTACATTTTGAATTGACTTGTTTTAATATAGTGCTGGTTGTAATAGGTGTCTGGAATTGAACTTTAATTTTTATTTAAAAGTAAAACCTTATCTAATTTATGTAGCTTCTTGATTAAAGTAGTATTTTCATGATATGCATGCAGAACAGAAAAACTGAATGCTGCCTTTTGCTGTGTTTTTTTTCCTTTCACTAGTATTTTCAGGTCACCATAGAAATCTTTCTAAATAAAATTTGATAGTTGAGAGTGCGTGTTAAAAATCTTAAATCTTTTTCTTACCCTCTTCCTTGATATTTTTTTAATCTTACTCTAAAAAGCTGCATCTAGATTTAAGGTGTCTGGCTTACATGTTAAAAATCTTAAATCTTTTTCTTAGCCTCTTCCTTGAATATTTTTTTAATCTTACTCTAAAAACCTGCATCTAGATTTAAGGTGTCTGGCTTACTGGTTAGCAACCTTATCTAGTGCTATGTTCCAGAGCAGTGGTGCTCTGTGTTTTGCTAGTGCTGTGACTACATGCTTGAACATCCTCAAAGTATGTGAATCTTTCTTTCTGAACCATGATTCCAGTACATGACCTGACTTGTTCATTATGTGAGCAGATATTTGTTCCCATCATGTGACACAGCATGTTGGTAGTCTGTGCTAATGTTCATTATGTGAGCAATATTTGTTCCCATCGTGTGACACAGCATGTTGGTAGTCTGTGCTACAAACAGACTTGCAAACTATAGAATTCCAGGACAGACTTCAGGATTTTAAGTTAATTCTCCTTGTAAGTATGCGGCAAGTGTTAGAAACAGAGAAAGCAAGAGTTAGTTTGTTGAATGACTTGTGCCTGAGTCTTAAATGAGAATTTAAAATTAAACATATCAGAGTTTTTATGTATTATTGCTACTTTTCACAAATGATCTGTGAAATATGCCAAGTCCTAAAAGTACTTTGTGCTGTTTAGCACACTCAGAGGAGATGTTAGATTTCCACTGTTTCACATCCTTGAAACATGTTTATTAATCCTGGTCTTGTTACTGGTCCAGTATTCTGTGAATTCACATTGTGGAAAATAGCTGTGAGGTAGCCTTGTTACCCAGTGTTTGTCTTGCTCTTAAGTTCTGCTGACACCTGTCCAATGAAATATTTTAAATACTTCATAATTGTACTGTGTGTAAAATGAAAAAATATTTCAGTTATTTTCCCCTATTCTAGAGATTTTTGTATTCACTTTCAGACTAATTCAGAAGCTAGCTTCAACAGCATTGCTTTAGACAGCTGCAGGTTTTAAGTCTGTCTGTCAGATGCAGAGTACTTCTGGTGTGTAAAATGTAGAAGGCTGAAATGGAGGTGAAGCTAACTGTGCGTGAAATTGTAGTAGCAGGAGAGATTGTCCATATTTTGCAGTAGCTGAAAATAGCTGCACTCCATCTGCGGCTTCACTTATGCTGTGTGATCGTTTCAGACATAGCTATAAGCATATTCCATTAGTTGTGTATTATAATCTTAGATTTAGCTCAACAATATATCTGTGTCAAGATCCAAATTGATTTTAAGAATCAACTCTGATTAAATTTGAGATACATTAAATTCAACAGTTGTGCTGTGTGGGATTGCTACAGCCTTTAAAAATCGTCAGTATTTCTAAACAGAGTTTTGAAATATATTTTGCTCACTAAAGTGTGTTGAACTTCAGCATTTTAAATTTCTGTTGTCAAGTATTGGTCATGTTGTAATACTATGGTGTTTGGTGAATTAAATAATGTGGCATCAGGTGTAAGCAAAAGCTGTCAAGGAAATTTGAGACACAGAAATGGATGGTTTAGATGGGGAGTTGTCATGAGTAACATCACATGTGTCTATAATACATTATTTCTAAATAGTTTGATTCTACTGTAAAACAGGGCAAACATAATGATACAGAAGTCTTTATGCATGCTTTTAAAGTTACACAGAGATGGGTAATAACTGCTCCACTGTACAAACATAAGCAAAACCATCTAAAATCCTGAGACTTGTAGAAACTTTCTTGTGCATGTATTCAGGGTTGTCACAATACAATAAGCTGTCAAAGCATAATTTAGCAATGCAGAGGCCAGATATTCCAATAAATTAAGATAATGAGAAATTTGGGATTATTTTTCACCAAACTTTACTAGATGTAACAATACAAATAACTAAAATATTTCAGACACTTGAAATGGATTGTTGTGCTGTAAGAGGGAAGATTTCCAATTTGACATTCTTCCCTCACCAGTCAATATAATTTTCCTTTCATTTGACATGAAAGTCTTGTGAAATATTAACCTGAAATAAATGCGGGTGGCTTAAACTTTGGCTATTACTTTTTCAAAAAAATCTTAAAGCCCATCTTAAGGTTGCTTTACATTCAGGTAGGATGTAGAATGGCGTTCTGAACCTAAAATGATTTTTAGTGTTTGACTGCTGTTTGAAAGTTAATGCAAGCATGTGGACATAACCCTATTAGCTATAGATAAACAGAAGGGATGAGGTCTAGAAAATAGTGGTATTTAATAACCTTTAATTGTTGTGTTTACTCAACATTTTGAAAAATGCTGAAAGGAGAACCAACTGGGGAGAAAATCCTAAG